TTGTTCAGCAATATACTACCCCTCAATCAACAATCAATAATGTAGGACTAGCTATTTTTCCAACGTATTCTCTACTGGATGAGAAAGGGCTGCATTTGTCCAAATTAATCTTTTTCCAGTTTAAGCCAGAGCTGGAGAATACAGGAGGTTAACTGCTGGTTTTTCACATTCCAGCCCATTCTCTTGTAAAACGATAACTTAGCAACATGATGGGAATTGCCAGGTCACAAGCACCCACCCTGTCTTATCTGCTAGGGAGTCTTTGCATTATAAAGTTTTAGTGTGTTGTTTTTTTGTCAAAGGCAGCCAAACCCTGGACAGCTGGAATAATGAATCACTTCAGCAAACAATGCCTGTGGTGTGGTTTAGTCGTATGTTGACCTGATGGATGGGTGGGGCAGGGATGTATTCATTCACCACATCCCTGCTTGTTACCACAATTTAATACACAGCACTAGCTCCTTTGTATGGAGCAATCTCTCCTATAAACCAATCTTTCACCTTGAACATTTAGATGGAGGGGGGTGGGTGCCCAGCCTTGGCAATTTTAAGTCTTGTGGACTTCAACTCCCAGAATTCCCCAGCCGCCCCCAGAATTCAGTCACAATTGCTATGTTGTAAAGCAGTGGTTCTCAATCTTTTCGTCACAAGTTGTATTAATACTTTTTGTGGTAACTGACCAGGGCCACCGACCACCAAGACTTAACTCAAGATTTAAATCATGACATTTCTTCAAGACTTTGCAGACTCCCTGTGATGACACCACAGCCCCTCAGGTTGAGAACCATTGTTGTAAAAATGTATGTTGGCAAAAATAAATAAAAATAAAAATCTGTAGTCCCTGGAGTTAGACAATAGCTATTTTGTCCCAAAATGTGCAACAATTTCCTTCCATTTAAGAATATGGAAGGGGGATAGTTCCACTGGGTATAATTCAGTTCACCACTGGCACGCAGCTGGGAAATGCCTCAATATCTAGCCCACACCTGCTTGTAAAAGTTACAAGAATCACCTCAGAGCTGTAAATAATCCACAAATCAATAAAAAAATTAGTTATGTTGGAGGATGGTGGAGAAAAAAAATGAGGCAACTGAAAGGGGGAGAGAAAGCCAAGATAAAGTTTTGAGGGGGCAGTTATTTACAGGGCCTTCTCCCAAATTAATGAGAATTAAGATAAAATGGATACAGTAATTATGTTTTCCTCATTAAGGATGATCATAGGACATCTCAATTCATTTGGACAAAGGATCCTGAATTCGACAGATGACTTCTTCCTTTTGAGATAGGTTGCATAGCTACTATTTTATTTCTCAGGGGATTCATTAGACCCGGGGTCTGCAAACTTGGCAAATTGTGGGCTCAAAACTCTCAGAATTCCTCATCCAGACATGCAGGCTGGGGGATTCTGGGCACTGAAGACCACAAGTCTTAAAGTTGCCATGTTCGGAGACCCCTGCATTAGACAATAGTGAAGAAAGGTCGAAACAAAACTGGGGATGCATTATTTGAAACATTAACAAGATTTTTTAAAAAAAATGACACTTGTGTGAACTTCCCATTCATCGCATCAGGATACCACTGTTTTAAATAAGACTGCAAGAAGAAACCAACACTAGTAATAATTCTCATATCAGACCATTAGACCGGACCAGTGTAATTCTCTTTAATATTATAAACACAAAGAAAAGTCTGCCCAAACCTACAATATTTAAACATTTGTACAGTTTTTTTTAAAAAAAAGAATATTACAACTTTTAAAAGAAAATATAACATTTTTATATGACAAAAAAATACATGTATCTTTAAATTTAAATTAAATTGCAAAATCAAAGTAAACTGAAATAACACTTTTTGCTTAAACAGCGATACTTTAGTGAAGTGACTTTTCAAAGACTGGAGGAGCAAACTCTGAGAATAACATCTTTTTGAGGTTGCGTAGCTAGATCACACACCTTCAGGAAAACAGTTTAAATTAAAACCATATTGCACCAAACCCACCTTTTACATAAGTTGGTTACACAGATTTTAATGGGACAAATTCCCAATAGCTATTGTGTGCATAGGCATTAACAACAGGCAATGAGCAGAGTTTAACTAACTACTTCAAACCAGTAGCTTTACCTATGCATTGTTATCAGGATAACACGGATGCTGATTATATCATTAGAAATTGCTCTGACAATTCTTCTTATTCTTAAATAGTCAAACTCAAAGGTGAACAAAATGTGAGTCGAATAAAATTCTGGGCAAAAGCACTGCAATAAACATTTCCTACAGAGTTGCATATTTGTATGGTTTGCATCTTTTTTTTGTGAGGATAAATGAGAAACTCTCTGTAAGTGAGGTACAGCATTTAAACTCTGCTGCAATATATTTCAATACTGAAATTCAGCAAACGAGCTAACACCAATGCCCCAATTCAAGGGATACCTAATAAAGATGAAGATGCCAGAGAAATTAACAATGGACCGAGATTTATACTGGGGGTCACAGTGTCCAAACTTAAAGGCTGGCAGAAGGAAGAAGAGCCATTCAAAATAACTTAAAACAAGACGTCCTAATTCTTTTAGTGATTTTTTAAAAGCCGTTACAACTTAAAATGGCAGGGTAAAACACTGCCAAACAAGATCGCCTGACCAGTTCTTGGGCAGAACAGATCAATCCAAATCTAAATAGGGGATGGAGCATTTAGATTTCAGGAGCTGATCTCCTGTGTATGCTTTCTAAGATTTATATGCATCTATGATTGGAAGGAACACACGATCCCCCTAAAATATAAAGACAATATATAACTTTCATAAATAAAATACAATAAGAGGGGGGGAAAAACACTTAAAACAGTGTCACAAGAAAAAGAATTCTTGATGAGATTCTGTTGAGGAAGGGGGTTGACGTTTCTCCACCATCAAATAATAAGATCAACTCTGTTCAAAGTATAAAACAACTTCCGTTTCTTATCTGGACTTTTCTGTAAAGATGGACCTGATAGAAACAACCTGCTGCTCCCGCCGGGGTGGGTGGGTGGGGTGGGGAAGTGTTCTGATAATCTGGCTTGCTGAAAAGACCTCTCCTTCTATCCCAACCAGCAGAGATGCTGGTCCTACCCTCAACTCGTGTAGAAGATTGTGACCTCATTTCAAAGAACATTGAAAAGTAATTTCTAAAGCCTTTCCAAATTAATTGCCTAAACAAACAGCGCACAATCCTTCTCTTAAGTTTCAATGTAAAGCAAACAGCATTTTGCATCATCAAAACCCGGTCTTGCATAGGAACCCAAACCCACACGGCAAGTTCTCACAAGGGAGTCATATTTATAAAATTATATAATATACATCATATAAAATAATCACACGCTATATATACACACGGCATTTGATATCTGCTGCAACAGTTATAAAAAATATAGAGCCCATTTTTAATTTCACACACACACACACACAATCACGCACACATATTATTCAGTGTGGCCAAGGGTGCCGTTGAGCACCACTTTTTGTCTTCTAGAACAGATTTTTAATTTTATTGTGGTATTATTACTCTTGGTATTTTTCAATCCTTGCTCCAGTTATAAAATCAATCCCTATTGCTTGGGACAACTGCACTTTTGGAACTATGTCTCTCTGATTATTAGATATTTTACATTGTATACGTACTGGTTAAAAATGAAAAGGGGAAGAGGAACTACGCATCTATTCTCCTCTTACAAGTATTTTTTTTTTGTACAAATGAAGGGCAAATTGGACTCTATTAATAGCACTGGATGCCTTTGGGTAAAGCAGCAATTCTGCATGGCCAAAAGAAATGGGATTAATATTTCTGATCTTGCATCCCAACTTTCCAAGTTGTGCAAAAGGGTTAACTTCTGGTGAGCAACATGTAGAAGTTAATGTACTCTTAGTACTTATTTCAAAGAAAATGCCATAAAATGTAATTACTAATTACTGCAGTTCCAAACCCTCCTCCTGACTTGTAATTAATTAGGCTAATTAACCAACCCTAAAACAATAGTAGCTCTTTGCTTTCTTTAAAAAGAGAAAGAAAAGAGGGCATATTTCCAATCTAGCACATTTGTGGCAATTTTCTTATATCACAGTTGCATCCAAAATCTTCTTTACCTCTTCTTCTCCTAGTTTATGTTTTGCACAACATACTACCATGCTATGAGAAAAAGCTGACACAATACGTAACAAGTGAAACAGTATTGTATATGAGACACACCAAGGGAACGCCAAAAGGTAAATTTTAAAACATTTAGGATAAAAACAAAGGACAACGCTACAGAATAGCCACATTCAAGCGTTCCCTTATTGTTGGGCAGGTGGCTATAAATGCTACGGTTGTTATTGTTGTGACAATATCGCAAGGCCTGCCTTGTTCCTCTCGCTATCAACAAACCAGCATAAGAAGAACTCTATATTTTATTACATTCACTTACATAAGTCCAACTGCTGATCAGCAAGACTGAGAATAATTCAGCATATAAAATGAATCAACAAGTCCAGATTAATATGCCTTCAGTAAGTTAATCATGATTTCACTAATAGCTTGTAATTTTTGAGACAGGCTGGAATTCTTCTATCTGAATGATACCCCTTAGCTGTATAATCATAAGCTGCAGTCCAATTTGGGCCTGAGGTTCTCCCTTGTGTGTATTTGCTAAAACCTTTACATCACACTGCAACAGTAATTTTCCAACGGTCACTGTCCAAGGAAGACATAATCTCTAGCAGTGTTTCTCAACCTTGCTGCCTTGAAGATGGGTGGACTTCATCTCCCAGAATTCCTGGGACCTATGCTGGCTGGGGAATTCTGAGAGTTGAAGACCACAGATCTTCAAGGCACCAAGGCTGAGAAACACTGATTTATAGTATCATCAATCGTCAGAATGGTTTCATTGAGGGGAGGTTTGGGGATGGATTTCTCTGGGGATAAATAATACACAACAGCAAAAGGGCGTTTTAAAACATACATTCATAGGACACTGCATCTCAAAATGAAAAATAAATAGTGATTCTAATAATTAATATTCTTGTTGTCCGTCTCTTCCAGCAATTCTGCTGGGCAGATACTGGCTTTATCAAGGAAGGCCATTTCTCTTTAAGTCTCCTGTATTTGGAGCTGCTGATGTCCCCCCAAACTGTCCAAGGTGACACCCCCGTTTGAAAGCACTTCGGTCTTTTCATGACAGTGTTTTGAAATCGGCCGATGAAAAAGGGGGCTCCAGTTCAAGCTGGCATCAGATGTCTCCAAACGTCCACTGTGATCTGCAACGGAAAACAGTAATCAGCATCTGTTCATCAGCTACCTAAACCACCAAAACTATTCAAAAGATTTATGCAAGTCCCAACGGGCTGCCATTGACTGAATGTTCACTATTTCGCCTCAACATTAATGGGCATTCTGTGCAGCATCTGGATAAGGATCCAATCCAATTAATTATAGCTGTTGAAATGCAGAAGTACAGCAAAAGATTTTTTTTTTTAATAAAAAAATCAGAACTGTGATTACAAGCAATCGATCAATCCTCACAGCCTAATCAAAGGAGAAAGATGGAGGAAATTCCTCTTGTAAAATCTCCTAATTTTGTAAAGAAGCCTGAAAAATAATTGAGCATTAGGGGCCACTCAAGATACTGTATTTATTTGCCCTTACAATAATTCTGATTTCCGTGCGGATGAATTAAAATGTTTTAGTTATAAGAAAATACTCATTACAGTACCAGTTTGGGGCAGTAGTTAAGGCATCAAACTAGAAACTGGGAGACCATGAGTTCTAGTCTCACCATAAGCACAAAGCCAGCTGGGTGACTGTGGGCCAGTCACTTTCTCTCAGTCCTAGGAAGGAGGCAATGGCAAACCATTTCTGAAAAACCTGCCCAGAAAACTGCTGGGAACTTGGCCAGGCAGTCTCCACGAATCAGACACAAATGAATGGGAGAGAAAAAAAATACAAATGACCTAAGAGGTAAGAACTGAAGAAGCTTCTTGGATGAGAAGTGAAACATCTTCAAGGACAAACAAAAGTCCAGTTGCCTTTTGAAAAAGCACTTTTGGGACCACCATGACCTGGATCAGGGCTTTTCAATCTTTTCACCCATTGTACCACTTTTAGGATATGGCAACATCCGAGTACCACCAGTCGCCTAGCAAGGGGTCAAAAAGTTGATGACCCCCCCCCAAAAAATATATGAAAAAAGTGATAAAGTACAGGTAGTCCTCGACTTACAACAGTTCGCTTAGTGACTGTTCGAAGTTACAATGGCACTGAAAAAAGTGCCCCCCAAGCCACAGCCGAGCAAGACACCTGCCTGCCCGCCCGGTTGCGCTCTTCCTCCTGTCCGAGGTTTTCATTGTTGTGAGCATTTCTGTTGAGGTGGGGTGGGGGGTGTTTGGTTTTTATTCCCCCCGTCTGCTGGGTGGTTGCAGCAGGTTTTGGTCACTTCACATGACCCCGGGACACTGTGACCGTCATAAATATGAATCAGTTGCCAAGCATCTGAATGTAAATCACAAGACCCTGGAGATGCTGCAACATTCCAGCTGATCGGCGCTTCTTCTGGGGCCTGGCACTGATCCCGGCGCTTCCACTGAGCCCTGACATACCTGATATACAACTTGTATTGAGTGGGGTCACATTTTCTTGGCCACAAGTGTCCTGATGTGATGGCGACTCTGCCTTCTCCTTGTCATTCTCCTCAGTCTCAATGCTGCATCCAGGGACTGTGGATGCCAGGCACATGGCCACAATCATGTGATTTAATGGTTTCATTTCTAGACTGTCTTGCTGATAAGGTGCTATAATGGGCATCACCGGTACAGAACTGTTGCCAAAATTGCCACTGGTTTTAGTGAAACACCTACAAATATTCAGGCCAAGAAAAAAGAAAAGAAGATTGATCAGAATGTACATCGTGTTTCACTGATCAATATATTCTTTATTTCTTCAAAATATTTCTATAATGCCTGCCGTGCACTCAGCACCAGAAATACACACAACATAAATATGCCTCTGTATTATCATTCACTTGCCATGAATAGTAGATCTGTAGTAAGTTAACAAATGTCAAAATTGGTAATAATGCATTTCAATCCGCAACTAAAATATGTAGTAGCAAAATCTTTATCTTATTTCAGTTATCTGGGTTGGATGTTGTTTAGGACATTAATGACTAACATTAAAATCTTACACTTGATTTAGCAGCACAAGCATGTACAAAATGCTTATTATAAATACAATAATAGAATATTCTTTATTGGCCAAGTGTGATGGGACGCACAAGGAATTTGTGTGTCCCATAACAAGTACTATTTTATACTTCTTTTCAAGAGCTTATCTTGATAATTTTTTATTGGTGTAACTCTGGCAATATAACAAGGGATTTCATTGTTTGCTATATTTGCCAGTTTGCTCTCCAAATTGGAAAAGCTCCTGTTGACAGAATGATTTCATTCAGGATGGCATTCTTCTCCACTGTAATCCTAGAAAGTGAGAATATGCTTTTTGACTCTTCCCAAAAAGACACTTTGATAATTCTCTCTTGTTCTGGATTGTGAATGGCTAGTCAAGCAGAAAAGAAAGTCAGTTTCTTATAGCTGAAGCTACTCAGCCTTTGAACAAAAGAAAACAACAAAAAAAAGGCAACTTAACAACCGAAATCCTTTGTAGGCATGCTAGCTTCTAATCCAAAGTTTTGGGAAGCTGCCAGTACTTTAAACATTTGCAGCTGGAGCATCACTTCCAAAGACATGAAGGCAGCGATCAAGTTGTTTTCTCAACATTCACAGTAAATGCTAACAAGAATTTTACTGTATTATTGGTGATTAAACATAAATTTGGTGAAAAACCACATCACAGCTACATCTATTTAGGGAAGATGTGGGAACTGTTGCATAAAGCATGAGGTCCAGAAAGAATAGGTATCTTAAATGATTATATAAGTAAATGCTGGATCTAATAAAATAATCTGGAGTGATCACTCTGGATTTTGTATTTATCTTTACACAAAATGTGAAGCCATATTCTGCCTACAGATTTGTTTTATTGTAAAGATGCTTGACAGCAGCTCACAGATTATTTCAAGACTTTCAAATAAGCCATTTAACAACACCTTCCCATTTGTCTTTAAAAAGGGGGTGAATTCTGATTGACTTGCTGCCATTTTTAGCAATGGATTGGATGAAAGAGATGGGAACCCAGGGAGAATTGAAGAGAGAATTATGGATACTAATTCATTATGCAAAGATGATGCCTATGTAGGGCAAAACGCAACACAATTCAAACTATTCTTATTTGTTACAATTGTTTGTTACATTTGCCATGAGTTTTCTTTTAAAACGGGGTGGCCAACCTTGGCAACTTTAAGACTTGTGGACTTCAATTACCAAAATTCCTCAGTAAGTATACAAAAATTCTCTTAATTTTCCATCTTTATGTTAACTGTAAGCAGATACACACACACACACTGGAACTCTCCTAAGATGCAAATGTAGAAATTTGAGTATTTTATGCAGTATTGCAAGAATCAATAAAAACTGACTTTTGGCTGCCAAGCTGAGTTGGCACCTTTTAACTTTCATTTTTAATTTTTTCCACGCAGTGAGCTCTACAGCTAAGAGTTAATTTGAACCTGAACCATAACTCAATACCTTGTATTTTGCACTATGTAAAATCTTTGACTTTCAGTTTGATTTTATTGGAAAAGTGACAATGCAACTCACTGTAAGTGCCTGGTGTGACTGCAGTAAGGGGCAGTGTGTGACTGCAGTAAGCAAAGCCTAAATACAAGTATGATTTATAACACAGGCAACAGCAAGCACAGGTTGCACAATCCCAGGATTGTCATTATGTGAGCCTTCGGTGCAGAAAAGCCAGGGTGCCTTGCGAAATATTAAGAAAACAACTACTGGCAGAAAGCTGCTATTTATTTTTATAGTCCATCAATCCATTATAGATTATGTGCTTACTTAAACTGAAGCAAAGGAGAGGCTCATAGATAAAAAGTTAATTTTTGCTTGTTTCTCATGGAAGAGAGAGAGAGAGAAAAAAGCTCAACTCCGCTATAAACAAGTGTTAAAGTATTTGCATGAAGTTTTTTCCCTTACTGCATGAGCCACTAAGTTTAAAATATACAGCCAACACAAGGCACACATTTTATAATCTACAAAGCGGAACTATTATTCCACGTTTATTTTGATGAACGGGGATGGCTAGTAAAATGCTGGTGTTGAACCACAAATATTAAGTTTATTTGGTTTAAGGGCCTGCAAGGGACAGCCATGCTCTACATGAGATTGAAGCACTCCTTCTGGGAATTCTTTATGGGTTCTGACAGTTCATAACTTCAAGCTGGCCACTGTGGTGAAAACCTGCTAATGGGAAACTGGAAAAATGGGTGGGACCTAAGCATTATAGGTCATCGTCCCCAAATGGAGTAAGATTTCTTTGTGCAGGGCAAGTTTTCTATGAGGCAACTTCTAGCCCATCAACAGAGATTTTGTTGCAGTGGAAAAGCCGAATTCTTTAGCATGTCTGCTCAGGCTCTTGTTTTATAATCTTGTTGCTGAAGGAAAGCAAAATGACCTGGCAGCTTTCAGAAAAGAGTGAAGTTGAGACAGCCACCCTGGATAATATTATATCCAGCCTAACCACTAGTTCAAGAACCAGCCCTAAGGCCGGATATCATTTTTGTGCTTCCTTGCAATTCAAGGCATCTAAATTAGATCTTCTCAGACAAAAATTGCCTGCTTCTATCAAGGCATTTTTCATTTTAGCATGTACTAGATTGCGCTGTTTCCTATATTAAGAAATGGCTAATTTCGTGAAGAAATAAATGGGCCTGTAACTTAGAAAGCAGAAATTTGGTTGCATCTTGTAGTTCAGCCCAGATTTGGAGTCAGCTGGCATCAAAGTTGAATAAATAAAGTAGTTCAAGCAAATCTTGCAACTGATAAATGTCTGTGCAGCAGTACAAAACTGCCCTCACTAAGTATACTTGACTAGAGTTAACTCTACATTAAAACTGAAGGAATTTAATTTCTTTGAAGCTGAAAGGTCTTCAGAGGTTGCCACTTTATAGAAACCCTGTAGCATTTTTTATGTATAAATCTGGAATAGTAAGAATGCAAAGACCAAGGTGTACTTGCTAGACACATAGATGGGATCGCTAGTCTGTGCAGGCTCAAATTCGGAGATCCCAATTCAGAGATCAGTTCGATTACCTGTTGTTATTCCAGCAGTTCCTGCAATTGGCATATTCTGAAGGATCTGTCTGAGGGACGGAGGTATATACGTCACCACCCTGGATGATGGGGGAATGGAAATATTTGAAAATTAAAATAAGGAAGCTAATGAGTCTGTAATATTAAACAAGCAGGCACAGTATATTCCATGACATTCATAGGGGTGGGTAACGACGGTAGCTTTAGGACTTCTGGGCTTCAACTCTCAGAATTTCTGAGCCAGCCATGCTGGCTCAGGAATTCTGGAAGTTGTAGTCCACAGGTCATAAAGTTGCGACAGTTGCCCACGCCTGTGCTAGAGCAAAGCCAAGCCAAATGTTATGGCTTAGACATGTTCATAATAAGTTCCTTGGCCTTATTTTCAGCTTGAAACGCCCAAGTTTAATTTGAAGAAAAAAGTGAAAATGTTACTGACATGGTGACAGACATGAAGGGAATTTTTCTTTCCTGGAAACTACTGTTTGTTGGTGGAGACAGGATGTTGCATGTGTGAGTGATGAAATATAATCAATGTCCCAGTTTCTTTCAATTATTCCATTTAGCTCAGCTTGACTGACTAAACTCTGGGTTTGAAATTTGCTGTTATTTTTACAGATGTATTAATTTGTCAGCCAAAAGTGATGGAGAAAGAAGGCAAAGGGATTTCTGAGTTTTTGTTTTTGGCTGTACAATCTCTGCAAATAAAAAAAAACAACCCACCAGTATTAATAACACGTAACTCATTGCTAAATACTGTGTATCAGATCCAGTAAGGGATCTGAGTATTTAGATTTGTATTACTATTTATGCGGCCTATCTAAGAAATACTTGCAAGATAGGCAGCATAAATAGCAATAAAAATCTAAATACTCAGATCCCTTACTGGAAGACGAATTTCAAGACAACTGTTCCCAAGTTGTTGCGTGCCTATATGATAAAGTAATTAAACTATTTGGGGGGTGGGGAGAGAAACAGGGCAACTTTTTCTCATCTATGAATCTTGTGAAGAGGCTGCAACTCCTTATTTGAAAATGTTGCCTCTATGCACAACTATATTAGTGTTTGTGGGGGTGTGGCGGTGTTAGCACAAAGAGCAAAACCAATGTTTTAATGTAGATTCTTACTTTATTCAGAGCTTCGGCATTAGGGACCCTTCTCCGAAGAAAAACAGGACATGAACTAATACTCAGTTAGGGATGAATAGCCAGAATAAATGGTTTTAAAACTCTCAAGGATATTGATCGATATAAGCACTGGAATCTTTGAAATAATTGCATACTAAAATGTTGAAGGTAGGATTTCCTACTTGAGAGAAATCATGTTACTTGGAGATAAATCTTAAGTGTGAGAATTCGGCTTTGGGGGAGGCATCTAAAAGGGGGATCTTTAACACCTGTTTTAAGTTTGTGTTCTCAGCATACCCACCCCAGCCACCGAGGCTCTAATTTAATTTCACAGCGCCTGCGTCCACCACCCTCCTCTACGAGCTTTCATTTAAATATTTCTAAAATCAATGTTTGGATTAGCCTTTAAATGGGTCTTAAGGATCTAAGAAGGCCACAACAAGGAAACATGAAGACTGTGAGAGACTTGAAAGGTTATCTGGACAGCCATTCTTGTACTTCTAGCAATCTGTTATTCCATGAAATGAGGTGTTTATGTTCAATTACCAGAGCAAACAATTGCCCACTTGCCCTCCCACTAGAAGCAGATGATGTTACTTAATTTCTGAACACATTCCTCGTTTCCCATAAAACATTGGAACAGTTTTGTGTGTAGGACCTCTTAACCTAGCAGCTCCTCTTGAGTTGTTGCTACTCAAGCAGCAAGAACAATGATAAACCTGCCTTCTTCACTTCTCAAACCTCTAGCAGGAGTAAGGAAAGCACTATTTAAAGTAGGCTGCATAATAAAAATACATCCTAGGAACTGTGTTTTTTCAAAACAGACGTGAATAGAATAGTTAGTGCTTAAAAAGAAAGCGCTTAAAAAGAAAGCAGATATTATGGTGTGGTTGAGCAAGAACCAAAAGGGGGGAAAAAAGGAATTTCTTCAGTTTATGAGCTTCAGTTTTTGGCACACTGAAATGTAATTAAGGGCACTACTTAAAATTAGGTCTGAAACACAGCTTAGGCACAAAGTGACTTGGCACACATCAAATCTGTGCATATTAAAAAAAAGTGAATCATTTATCTGCTAGAAATCCCTTATCTCATATTACAGTAAAAATCTCAACATAACCATAGTTTGGATGGATATACAAAGGGCATTTCTCCCCTTCTTAGCATTGTTCCTGCAACTGCAGGATCTGGAATATTTTTTTTGTTCCAAATCAACTCAGTGTTGAGCCATTGGCTGTGACAGGAACTGACCAATCAGCTTATTGTCTGAGCCAGATGTTGTGGGCTGAGAGACAGTGACTGGCCCAAAGTCTCCCAACCAGCTTTCATGCCTAAAATGAGACTAGAACTCACAGGTCACCTGGTTTCTAGCCTAGAACTGGCTCTCTCCAAAGGCAAATGCCATTACTATTATGGCATTTCACACCTATTAAGGTGTGAAAATGGGCAGTTAATTTATCAAGATTATTTGAGTGTAGTGTTCCACAACACAAAAAGCTACATCCAACATTATTCAAATCTAGCCCATCTGAAGCATTAGTTCTCTACTGAACCTGAATTCAATTGAATCAGCTTCATAAATTTATATATAAAAACTTGATGTATACCATTTTTTTTTAATTTCTAGGAACTCTGAAGGTTTAAACAAAATTATGCATCTTTGCCCGATAACAGAAATTCTCAGTAACCACAGGAATTACAAAATTTTTGTACGTTTCCATTCAGTAACACTATTTACATTAGAAAACTCTGCTACAAATTCAGTAACTTAGGGTCTCTATACAAAAATGAGCGTATGAGAGGAACAGATGGACTATTAGTAAATGAAGGTGTTCAAGTCTCCAAATATTACATTAACAAAAATGACTTTTAAAGTGTATCTTTAAGTCTATATCTATTGCTCTCACGATGAAGTCTTTTATTAACTTTATCATACTTTAATAGGTGTCCAATAATGGGGTCTTCAAGAACAGATACCGGTATATGACATTTGCAACTTCTCTTTCAAGAAGAGTGAACATCTCCACTTTCATTTCTAATGTTCCTAACAATGACAGCTTCAAGGGCTTGACCCATAAAGCATCGCATTTACTTACATTTCCTATGTGATGGGTGTGTTCATATTCTATGTGGGCTCTGGAGAGCGAGTTAGAATGTCCCGGATAAACACCGGTTCCACCACTGACAGCACCGTTCATGATCCCATTCATTCCATTAGCAACCTTATGATGGAGGTGGAGGCATCCATTATTATGTTTTCCATTACTGATAAAGTTTCCATGTACGCCACCATTCATGTGGCTTGTGCCTGGCAGAGTTGTATACTGAACCATTTGTCCATTGATATCCGTACCTTGGTAGAGATAGCTGGGAGGGTCATACTCTGTAGAAACAAGAAGAAGAAATCCTCTAGAAATTGCAGCTTAACTTGGATGTACTGCATATAGAAGATGTTCTTGGCCTATTTTCCCCTGCATTTATATACTGTGTCAATTAACAGTTTTAGTCTATAGCAAATCTTCCAATAGGAATAACTTTCCTAAATATAATTTAAAGCAAATAGCATAGTTGGCTGCATTTAAAATAAAAATAAAAGTGAATCTCTGCAGGAGTTAATCCCCATTAGCCAAATCAGGAAGGCATGGGGTCGGAGTAAGCATTAAGCTTCACTGCATATTTACAAATTTGTTGTCTTTACTTATATTCACGTTTGAGTGGAAATCATGTTAAAAATACATAGCAAAACCTGTGGATTATACATGAATTTACGAAATTAGCAGCCATGTTCAATCATACTCTATCATGGCCAGGGCCAGGAATACTAAACAGTAGTAAAGATCAGCAGCCATGTTCAATCATCCTCTATCATGGCCAGGGATAGGAATATTAAACAGTAGTAAAGATTAAAATAATAAAATAGCAAAAACATGAATAAAGTTGGTTAAATAAAATAAAATATTGGATGATATCAAGATGGTTAACAAATGAGATGAGTTATAAACATAGGTTGCTGCTTCATTTTTCACCATCACTACGCAACTTTTGGTTATAACCTGCATAATAGAGGAGTTACAGGCTGAGAAAAATAAACTCATGTAAAAGTTGTCTTTTGTTTCACAGTAATGATAAAGCAGGGACGAGATGCAATGAGATGTGGAAGGTACAGACTCCAACCGATAGTTTAAGACTGCAGAAAAAAACAATCACAACCAGCCTGCCTTCCATTGAGGACCTGTATACTGCATGAGCCAGAAAAAGGGCTGAGAAAACATCTATAGACCCCTCACACCCTGGACATAAACTGTTTCAACTTCTCCCCTTAGGTCTTAGGACAACGGTATAGAGCAGGGTTTCTCAACCTTGGCAACTTTAAGACTTGTGGACTTCAACTCCCAGAATTCCTCAGCCAGCAAAGCTGGCTGAGGAATTCTAGGAGTTGAAGTCCACAAGTCTTAAAGTTGCCAAGGTTGAGAAACCCTGGTATAGAGCATTGCATGCTAAAACAACCAAACTTTTTTCCCCCCGTGTCATCACCCTGTTGAGCACTTAATTCCCACAATACTGTCTCATTTCCCATGTTTTCTTATCTTCTCATCTTTCCTACCATCTTCTCCTATTGGTTTCTTAAGATTTATCAATTGTTGTTTGTAACTTATGATTAATGATTGTTAACTATGATTTATGACCTATGACTTGCTGTTTATATGTACACTGTGAGCTTATCACTGGAGACAAATTCCTTGTGTGTCCAATCACACTTGGCCAATAATTCTAATTCTAATATTTTTTTCTCCTTCCTTCCTTCCTTCCTTCCTTCCTTCCTTCCTTCCTTCCTTCCTTCCTTCCTTCCTTCCTTCCCTTCCTTCCTTCCTTCCTTCCTTCCTTCCTTCCTTCCTTCCTTCCTTCCTTCCCTTCCTTCCTTCCTTCCTTCCCTCCCTCCCTCCCTCCCTCATTATTATTATTACTATTATTATTATTACTACTAGTATTATTATTATACTATAAAATAAGGCTGTTATGCATGAAAAGCAACTTACTTTGCAAGGCATTCTGCTGACGGTTCTTCCATAAACACATGGCAATAAAGACAATCAGAATGAAAACCATCCCTCCAAGGACACAGGCAACAATGAGATACAACATGTTGCCACTCCGGACTGAACCATTTGGTTGACCTGCATTGCTTCCAATTCCACGATCAGGGAAATTAGGTGGTGTACTAAGGTCTTTCACTGGGTATTCAGATGCTCCAGGTGAACGTTTCACTGATTGGAATTAAAGCAAAAAGGTTAAATGAAAAAAAAAAATGAAATGGTAAATTCGTGCAAGTGTTATTCTAGCCTGATGCTGAACTTCAGCAACAGCTGAAAATGCTTTAAAATTATTAAGTCCATTAGTTACAGAGTACCATTCATTAGATGCATTTGTTTTGGCATACAATAAATAATCACAAACAATCAAGGAGGAATGAAAAAAAAATGAGAGGGTAAAGAGTGCCATATTATTCTACTTGCCTTCAGTTTAAAGAGCACTATTTCAATTTAGAAAGGCATAATATATGCTAGTTAGACAATGTTTCTCCCCTTTTGATAAATATCTGCTTTTGAGACTGATCAGGTTTGCTTATTAACAAACAAGATTTATTATCAGAAGCATCAATTATGGATGTTACCTAGTTTGGTAATGAAATGTTTGAAAAAAAAAAAACCCACCAAGCTCAGAGAGCACCAAGGGCCCCACAATTGTTTCTTACCTTTGGTTTCACATATCATCACATTGCTATAGTCACTTTCTCCTCCTTCATTGTAGCACTGCATTTTAATATCATATGATGTTTCAGGTTGTAGGTGGCTTATCAAATGCCAGAGTTTTGTACCTGGGAATAGAAGGAGTAAAGGAGAAATGGAAATGACATTTAACAGAACTGTACTCTTTCAGATGAAGTGCATTATAAGAAAAAAAAAGTATAGAACATCTTATAAGAGACAAAAATTCAAAGTCTATGAAACTCTGCATTCAGATATGTGCAAAAAAAGCAATTAATTCTTAAATCTCTGATAAATTTTTATATGGTCAATCTTAGAGAAGTTTTGGCAAAGCAGTATCCTTCTATGTCAGCATTTTCTAACTGTTGCTCTCTAAAAAGTATGAGTACAAAAAGTCAGTATATCCAATGGGTTATTACTGTGCGGTCTTAAGACATATATACAATACACAAGGATAATATTTACATCTGATTTAATCAGGCCTCCATGCATTAAGACACAAAACAAAGGAGTTGTACATGGATCTTACCTTCTACAACATCTCGCTTGTAATCACTATCATTGTCACTATCCGTCGGGCGATAATAAATGTAAAATCCTTGGATAGGTGTGTTGTTGTTACTCGAAGTAATATACTAAAACAGAAATACTTAAACACGTGAGAATTCAGAACACACAATACGGAATGAAGAAAGATGTAGGGAAGATAAATTTAATGACACTGATAAACTAAACTGCAAAAAACATTTGAAACTTAACCACTACACAGAAAAAGAATTAATTTGATAGCGTATTTCCATCTTTTTAAAAATTTACTTATATATTCAATCATTAAAAACTGAAACAACTAGAATTCCTTAGAACCTAAGATTAAAAAATTCTGATATCAGCATTTAATGTGCCATTTTCATTTGAATCTTCTATTATATTCTCATCATCCATGTTTACTTTTATACTGCACTAAACAATAAACAATATAAACTACCGAAAGGGAGAATGGCTGTATATAAACAGCCTGTTTAGAATAGTATTTATAGAACATATCTGTTTAATGTTCCAAGAGTCTCAAGACCTTTGTTCTACGATAGTTAGTGAGCAAACTGTTTTATTAGTATCTTTTAAAAAACATAAAACATTATTTCCAGAAGAAGAACTGGATACTCACAGTCCACTTTAACATGATCTGGGTGTCACTGACTGCTTCAGTATAAGCAATGTGAGGTCCTGCGATGGGGCGGTTGGAATATCGGTTGGTAAAGCCCGCCACATTATACGGTCGAGAGGGAGAACTTCGAGGGCTTTCCCCATAATTATTAATAGCAATTACACGGAACTTATATGCAGTTCCTTTCAAGAAAAAAAAAGGGGGGGAGAAGAATGAATTAGCAGAGATGGCCAAATTGACTGTGCTGATAAAAGAAAAGAACATAAGTGCTTTTGTTTCTACTTGGAAACCGCTTCTGGACTTTGTGCTTGAGGTGGAAAACAATGATAGTATGATTTTGGGTTTTACCGATTAGACTGATTTGCCGATACATTGGCGTCGGAAGTCAATGCCTTGTTTCTCCCCCTCCCTTTCCTTACACCTTTTTTGTTTTCCCTTTTTCTACTGTTGTCCCCTACTATTTGCTTTTGTATTTTCACATTTTATGTTATAAATGAATAAAGCTAATTAAAAGAAAATAGAAAAAAAAAAAGAAAAAAAGGGGGGGTGAGAATGAGATTAAATCATTCTGGGGAAGGAGAGTTGGCCAACATACCACTCATTAGCACAAGGCATGCCAATAAATACCTGGATCCAAATTGTCAACTTCCACTGAAAGTTTGGATGGAGAGATGTTATCCGCTGCAACTAGCCATTCATTGTTTCTGTTAACACGTTTATATTCTACTTTAAAGGCAGTGATAGGTGATCCACCGTTTGCACGCGGGATCCAAGTGACATAAACAGAGGTTTCCGATGCTGTTGAAATAGTGGGCCGATCTGGTGCCTCAGGAACTAGAAAAGAAAATAGACAAATCTTCATACAAAATTGTGTACAGAAAAAAAAATACACTGATTTTTATGCTGTAGGTTATCAGTTAAATTAAAAGGATATACCCAGTGTTTAAAAGGCATATGGAATGGACTTAAAAGACAGAAGAAGGCAACAATCAGAGAAGCAGAGAAGCCCATTCCAAGAAACTAGTTTAGGTTTCAGACAGCCCACCCACCCCTTCTAGTTCACACTAAGTTCACACTAAAAGGAGGGAAGGGGGAAGTGCATTCAGAGTCAAACAATTCTGTTACTACAGCTGCTGCAATAAATATAGTCCTGACCTACATGGCGTGGACTTCTCAGTCTGGTCTACACAACATAACTTAGACTTAATTCTAGAAAATCTATCTTGAAATACTACAGCTTATTGACAACCCTATGCAACAATAGTGAGTTAATCCAGAGCATACGCATCCTGAAGTATTATCGTGTCAAAGAGAATTGCATAACTTAATTCACAACCATGGAAATGGACACAGAAACCAGTTAATACCAAAATAAATTCAGCTTTATTTTAAGGAAGCTAAATAGTTTTTTCATAGTGGTGAATTAGGTAGTGGTTAAGGCACCAGGATAGAAACTAGGAGACTATAAATTCCAGTCCAGTATAGGCATGAAGCCAACTGAATGATCTTGGGCCAGTCATTCTTGCTCAGCTCTAGGAAAAAGACAATGGCAAACTACTTTTGAAAAATCTCGCCAAAGAAATTGCAGAGACTAGTCCAGGTGGTCCACAGGAGTGATAAACTCCAGGCACCTTTTCCCCCACCAAAAAGCTAGTATTCAAAACCATGCAGATTACATTAATACTTACTGAACTCACTTGAAGTTAGATAGCAGGGGAAACAGAAAAAGGGAGAAAATGAATGTTAGTTAAGTCTGATTATAGCCATTATCTGAGATATTATCCCAAATCTTTTTGTATATTTTATATCAAGTTGTACAAGATACACCATGAAGAAAGGAAAAGATTTAATTGGAAAGAGAAAGATACAGTGTAACACTGAAAAACTATATATTTTTAAGATTAGTTTCCAACTTACCTTTGTACATTGACTTATTAGATGCTCTTTACTTTTTTAACAGAATGAATATCATATTCAAGATTTGAAACCTGACTGCATTGTTTGAAATCAATTTACAATAACAAAACCATCTTGAAATGCTTTTGAGTTGATGGTGTATAATGGTCTAGTTTTTTTAATTTTTGTTGACAAATTGAGGGGGTTTGGGATATTTTTAATAATATATGCTGTGGTTTTATTGTATTTTATTATAATGACCAGTCATAACAAATTGGAATAGTCCATACATCTCATAAATAAAATCTGCACATTTGTAATATAACCAGTGACAAAACATGCCTTTTATTAGCATTTATTTTAATAACAGAAAACATTTAACCAATATTAAAAATCTAAATATAAATTACTTTAATTCTAACACCATGACATATAACCTAAGACTGCTTCATAAAACAAATCACGTGGAAAATGAGTAGGATAATCCAAGCCCTGATATTGTGCAATTTGCAAAAAAACTGAATTAAACATAATTATGCTATTACCAGAACTGTTCAGAAGCAGAATGTGTTGCTTCAAAAGAAAAATTGTTTGCTTCCCCAAAAAGGCATTTAAACATCTAAAAACTGTCTAATATCATTAAATTAGGTGATCCATTTATTCTCCTTGGCAGCAGTTTCACAAAACGTTTGAGCAGAAATGTTCTCTGGTAATACTGCCTATAATCATTAACTGCAACAAAGGAAGTAACCTCATACAAGTTCAGTCTATTTATCCACCCATGTTATTATGACAAACAGACAGACACACTTCCAAAGTACTGGGCCCCGGTGAATCATCTGCTACCTGAGTTTAAGCTACACAATCTGCATGCAAAGCATATATTCTATCACTGAGTTAAACTCCAAAAAAGAGTTCAGTGTTTGGAGAAGGTGCTTTCTTATTTTCTTTTGAAGTTGCTCTGTTAAACACCCAAGTGACCTTGGAGATGGCACAACTAACAGAAGATTCGAAAGGTGGTTAAAGTTGATGTTTCAAAAGTACATTATTTTCAGATTTATCGATGGGACTTACCGCCACTGTGTCGAGACAAATCTGGAAGGACCACGCCAAAATTGTTGGTTGTTCCTTCCTGAATGACAGAATGTTTAGGAAAGCCAATTGGTTGAGAGGGAGTCTGTGAGGTTTTTGAGGAGGATGACCTTTCTGGGGGGGAAAAAAAGTGTACTCAGTAAATAATTTAAGATGTCGTAAGGTACTTATTCAAGTCTTTTTAGTAAGTGTTAGTCATCTTGTTGTATGCGAGCAGGCAACAAAAATGTTGAAAAACCCCTATTTTACTCATGTTGCTTCCTGAAAGCTCCAACACGAAAGTGAGCTGATGGAATAAGCTCAGAAGAAACTTTGAGCATCCACAAGTATATCAACGTGAAACATTTAAGAAATGCTCTTCCACATACGAAACATCTTTGACAGAGTTGCTCATGGGACGGGGGGGATCTGATTCTACCCCATTTTGGCATTTCCTCTGCTGCTCTAGGAAATGAGAAGGAGCTGTCTGTTAGAGTAAACCGCAGAGGAAACCTGTTGTGATAATTTGGGATTTGCAAGTGAGCTAGTACTGGAAGTGCCTATCCTGTGAATAGATATTTACTCACAGAGTTTCGGGAGCCAATTCACCTGCTAGTTCTGAGCAAGGAATGTCAACAATATGGCAGATGCTATACACAAAATAGCTTACTTTGAGGGGAAACATGTCAAGAGGTTTCCAAGTGTACGCACTTCAGAGAAAAAAAAGTCACCTAAAATACATTTCAGGGAATGATAAGTGGTGTGACAAAAACTTTCTCACCTTTGCTAGTACGAAAAGTAAGCATGGAAGGCTGCCCTTCACCAGCATCATTTTTTGCAACCATCAAGACTTCATACAGACTGGAAGGTTCCAGTTCTGTAAGACTGAGTTCATTTTCACTTCCAGGAACACGGATTGTATACCAATTAGTAACATTGCCATCCAGCTGTAAAAGGAGAATTAAAGAATGATAAATCAAAAACTTTAGTTTACAGGAAGGTAGGTAAACAATTTGCTGGTTCTAATGTTGGCACAGAACTGTATTATTTACATAGAAACTGTCTAGCTACCAAACTGTGTTTAAAAACAAAAGCGCAGACACAATGAAATGCTTAGGATATCCACCAAAATTCTTCCTTCACATACTGCAAAAGGTAAATGTCAATCTTTCCTGTAATACAAGGCCCAAAGACGTTTAAAACAGGCCAGCTTTCATTAATCACCATTGCTGCCAATGCTTTAAACTAATGTAGAGCAGCATTTCTATTTTTCCCCTCTCTCATAGTTACTACCAGGATACTGTAGCTGTCCAAAGTTGTTTTTTTTTAAAAGCCATAAAAACTAATATTTGCTTTTTGTAGAGAGCCAGGATAGTCCTACCTTGCGATATTTCACGAAATAAACGTTGATTGGCCGACCACCATCCTTTCCAGATCGCCAGATCAGGTTATACTGGTCTGGCTTAAGTGTTTGTGGAGGGCTGAGAATGATGGGCGCTTCGGGTGGGGAAATGCCACTGGACGTTTTTTCTGTAGCAGTTTTGTCAGTAAGAATCTCGGCCGGAGACTTTCTGGGGAGGCTCACTTCTGAATCAAGATCCCCATCTCCATCATCATTCTGGGCAATTTCAGAAGGAGGAGCTGCTGCTTTTGTACTGGCTTCATAGGGAACTGCAGAAGAATTTAAAGATTAAAGATAGGCATTGGCTGAATGATCTTTACAAATGACACTTAATAACATCACTTATCCCGTCAGTATTTCTTCATAAATGAATATCATCACAAAGTGATTTATATCTTAAAGATAATATTCCTTTTTTTTTTTTTTTTTAAAAAGAAAGTTAGATTATAACAGCAAATAAGAACAGTTTTTAATCCCATTGTAATGATCCATATGGTTTCTAGATTCTTATATACACGGCTAAACCTATGCTGAAAATGCTTCAGAAATGCTACAAAATGCTTCAGGAATCTTCAACTTACAACAGTTTGTTTAGTGACTGTTCAAAGTTACAATGGCATTGAAAAAAGTAATAGAAAGGGTTTATAAAGTAAACATTTCGTTGTGCAACACTTTAGATCTGCTTGCCTGCCTCTGCTGAACTGGTAATCAGTTTGCTGTGGGCAGCTGATTCATTAAAAATCAAGGAGGAAGAAAGTTTATTTATTTCAAAGTGAATGTTAATGTGTCAGCAACATTACTACCCAAGTTGAACTTAGCTGACCTCAAAACATAACACAGCAGCCTTATTATAATCTCCAGTCTGTTATTATAAGTGTTGATTATATAGGCCACAATTCTAGAAACGGACAACTAACTCAATTTAAATAACACACCTAATTTGCAAAGAACTGGCACAGAAAGATCATGTTTCAACATAGAAAGCAATAGAAATTTGATGAGCTATAAAACGTATAAGTTTACAAAATGTGGCAATTTGTGGACATTCCATTATTAGTGCAAACCTCTGTTCGAATGGCCCAACTGTTTGCACACTAGTTAGTAAGATAACTGGGATGGTACTCACCAACTGTAAGGGAAGTCTCTGAACGAGCAAGTCCATAATCATTTGTCGCTTCACAGATGTATTTCCCAGCATGCTCTGCTGTAAGAGGCTGAATATATAAGGAACTTGATCCACTGCGAGACATAATGTAGTAGGCTCTGTCTGCAATGGAGTTACCACTTCTTGCCTGGGTGGATGACTTATGTGACTTTGAGTAGAGCACCTGTGAAGGATGGGTGGTAATTATTCCGTGCCTGTTGTACCAACGAATTACAGGGGTAGGCAATCCAGTGGCATTACATGACAATGACACAGTGTCGCCCTCTATCACTTTGGTATTGGCTGGCAGTGAAGTTATAATTGGCTTGGAATTTTTGTCTATTTAAAAAAATGAAAACAGAGAAAAACACAATTTACTATTCATCCATATATAGACACTTACACACCCACAGAAAAGGCCACGAAGCTTCAAAGAATAACATGAAACAATAATATTCTGACTATACATATACAGACTGCTTTGAGTTACAACTATATTTACTTTATTCATTTATTCCCTACCTTTATTACTTTGATAAATAACTCAAGGCAGTTAGTATAAGCAGCCGTCTTTTCTTCTCGTAACACAATAAAAGATCTTCTCAAGAGAACTGAGCTATCGTTGGAGACTAGATGTATAGAAGAAACTTGGATTGGTAGGGAAAAATAAAGGCGCGAGTGATTATTTTTGTTTATTTTAAATACTTACATACTGCTTTGCATGAACTACCTCATGAATCAAATTAATTGTCTTATATGTTAACAAAGAGAAGAACAAGGATAGTAATGGGAGAAAAGGGAACGGGAACCTTCAAATACTGTAGGGAATAACACTCTAAATAGCAGGCATTAAGTTCTGAGAAGCTTAATACGCAAGTGGATGACAATTCACAATTTGTGCCATCTGCAGTAAGAGCTCCACGGTTAATTTTAAAGCTCAGGCAAGTTTACAATGGAAAAGGTTTCCTGGCAGTGTCAACAATTGGCCAGAGCTTACAACTGGGTGCATAGCTCAGTAGTTAAGATTTACTCACTAGAAATAGCCCACAAAGCCAACAGGCCATTTCTGTATAGACTAAAGGAGGATAGGAAAAAAAATGCATCATGTGTTTTACCTGCTTGGGAATGAAATCTCCCAGTGGACTGTGAAAATCCAATGCCATTGTTTGCTAAACACTGATACAATCCTGTGTCTTCTGGGGCAATTTGATTTATTCTTAGCTTGTTTCCTGAAGGAAAGTGCCGGGAAGAAAGATGGACGGGAATTCCATTATGGTACCAGGTAACATTAGGTAAAGGATTTCCATGTATTTCGCAGGAAAGATGCAAATTTTTGCCCCAAGACACTAACTGATTTTGTAATCCTCTCGATATAGAAGCGGGTTCTAAAACCAAAGAGGAAGGAAGAAAGGAAGAAAAAGGAAGTATTATATCCCGTTTCGTTCTGCTGCAGAAGCAGAATTTTGACTCTGAATTTGTAAATTAAACATTGTCATCGTACCAAGCACATTTATGCTGTAGTTAACGTATTTCACAACTCCAGAATTGTCTTGGACTACACAGGAATAATTTCCAGCATCAGACAGTTCCACAGAATCAATGGTAAGGTGCGAATGAAAGAGCTTCCATCTGTTCTGAATTAGCACATCTCTGCCATCTTTATACCAGTGAACATAAGAAACAGGCAGCCCACTAACTACACACTCCAACATCAGAGATCTGTGTTGAGGTATTGCCAATGCCTGAGAACTGGTTGGATGAAGAATATGAAAATCCGCTGCGGAAGAGTCTGCAAATTGAGGAAAAAGTTAGCATGAGTTTTTCTAATGAGCTATCTCAAATTCCTTGGATTCCTATTTCCCTCCCCACCCCCGAAGTATTTTGCTTGTTTGCAATACTTATGCATTTTTGTCATAACTATCCACTGTGAACGCTAGATCACAAAAGGTAATATTTAATTGTAATCTGTTATCTGATATTTGGCTACAAAGCCTGTAAAAAGCCTAAGTTTAAATTGCCAAGCTTTCTCTGTCATCTAGAGCAAAGCCGTTATTATGATTTGTTTATCATGCTTCACACCTCACCTGCTCTGAACTATTTTAATATATCAAGCCTCTCCATTAGTCTGTCTGGCTCAGTATACTCTATCAAAGCAGCCCAGGTTTTATACAGGACCGTTTCCCAATTTTAGCTGGACATACTATGGGCTGGAGACCTAGATACAAAAAAAGATTCCCACGATATGCAAATCCAGCTTTCAGTAACAGCCAATTATTAAAGGTTAGAAAGGCTTCAGATCCTTAACTCTGGGAATATACATTCTCATACAGCATTTAACCATGATGAAGATAATTACTGGTAATAAGACTTTTCAGCAAGCAGACATTCAACCAAACTAAATGGATGAGAGACCTAGCAAAGCAATGGCACTGCACGTTGACATTTTAATTACACTGACATGCAATACTCACTACTGATTATGAGCTTATGTCCAGTGGGTTCAAGTTTGAGATCATCAGTAACTGGATTATATGCTGCACACTTATAAATTCCCTTGTCATCTGAAGATACATTCAAAATTTGCAGATTTCCAGATGGGAGAATAAGGTAGTTTTCTAATAAAATAAAAGCGGAGTTATTTTAATGAGACTACAAAAAATATAACTTGATTTTTCTGTTGAAAATACTGTGTTTAACTTGTATCATATGTTAAAATGCAAACGTGTAGCAATTCTCAACAAGCTAAGGGACGTAGAAACTTGCCTGTTGATTGTTCCAGCCATTTTCCCCGGACACGGAAGCGAACCTGTGCTTTTGGACTGCTTTTTGGTAGCTTGCAACCTATTAAAGCAGTATTCCCTTCTTCCACTGAAATTGTGTTTCTCCATGAAGATTCAAAATCATCAAGATCTAGAAAAAAAATGAAAGCTTTTTTATTTTATTTTCAACTTTTGGTAGATTTTGTAGGTCTTTAACCAAAAGAGTTTTACTTAATAAATATTAGTGCTTTCAGCTGATTGGGTGCTGAGTTACCTTAAAAAAAAATAAGAAAACAGTAAAAGCCTCCTATACATTCTCAATCCCAGCAATTTTGCTGACTGATTATAAATCCAGCTGCAAATGTGCCTTTCTGGAGAAGCTTTAGTTGTCAGGTTCTGTATAAAACTGAGAATCTGTTTTTTTCTTCACAATGCTAAAAGGATTGCCAGGCGAGTGTGCAACTTCGGGTTTCAAAAGAATATAATCTCCTAAGTAATTAAGGAGGGAATAGGAAAAGCTTTAACTCAACTATCTGTCTAACCAATATCACAGTGCCTAATAGGGTTTGCCCTATTTACACTTTGTTCCTTGTGCAACTGGATAGATGTAGATCAAAGCTAGTTGCTCTTTAGAGCAGGGGTGTCAAACTCAATTTTATTGAGGGCCGCATCAGCATTGCAGTTGCCCTTGGGGGTGTGTGTGTGTGTGGCCACGGTGGGTGCAGCCTACTGGGTGGGCATGGCCAGCTCTACATCGTTCGCGTCAAGGGTGCCTGTGGGGGCCTGGGCAGGAGTGGGACAGATCTGAGGGTCTCTGGCAGAATGGGGTGGGACTGGGGCAAGCACCAAGACATGCTCCATTTTTTCATTCCTCACAAAGGGTGACACACCTCCCCAGCATGCACCCAGGGGGCGGGGCCGACGCGACAGGGGCTGGTTCCTCGCTGTTTCTAGACAGCCTTGTGGAGCTAAGACTGAATGTGTTTCAGCATAGATGGCCACCACAAAATTGAACATTGGCTCCTGGCTGGCCTGGGCCAGGGCCAAGGCAGCAGGGGCCGTTCCCTCACTGTTTCCAGGATGGCTTCGCGGGCCACATGAAACCACTTCGCGGGCCTCATCCGGCCCCCGGGCCTTGTGTCTGACATGTCTGCTTTAGAGGATTGTTTATTGTATCTACATTAAAGTCATGTTAACATTATGGCATGCAAAGTAGTTGAGTTTTACATACTTTATAATTTATAAGATTTCACACCTAGCTATGTGCCCTTTTTGCAGCACATAAGAGCAGCTGACTAAAACAGCAACCAATTAGCTAATTTACTTTGGTAAATACTAGGACAATATTAGCAGACTCTTAACATGTAATCAGAATGTTTGACTATCAAATGACTTTTCAATGCTTGTGTTTTCTATACTGGTCTAAACTAACTGATATTTCAACTATAACTTGATAAATGTCTACTTTGCTTAAATGGCAATTCAACACAATATTGGTCTTGCTGCAGTCATTTCATCAGCAATTAATACAGTACAAAAGGCACTGAATGTATTCAGAGTTTTCTACAGTCCTTAGCATCTGTAAGTACCAACTAATGTTCATAAGCTCTCAAGAGGATCTTGCTATGGGTCAGTACTCTACAAAAACATTTATCCTTCTCAATTATGAGAAGTTTTTCTCTTATGGGTATTTTGGATATGCTTCAAAAGCAAAGTATATTTATAATGGAAATGTATCAAGCTCAGGCATAAGAAAGGAGTAATTCAGACATTTTGTTTCTGATCTGAAATAGTCAAATTACACTCAACAGAAATAAGTCTTCTGTGCTGATATGGGGGAGGGGAGAAGGGGAGAGAAGGAAGAAGCAAGGCATATTTGTTTCCACATTGTTTAAATGACCAGCTGAACATTCGTAGGGTTGGTAAGTTGTAAAAAGTGTACTTAATAACTGGACTGTTCTTCAACACTTGGTATTTGAAGGCAGGCGAGCACAGCACCTGCCTTAAAAGAGAAGCTACTTTTTATTGGGATCAACTGGTTGCATTCTGCCAAAGGAAAGACATGCTTAGTTTAAGAAGTTGCAAAACGGTGCTGTTTAGCTGAAGCAGCTTTTTGTTTCACACTTGAAAAACAGCACAGCCTTAATTTATAATTAAGTGGGATAAATTAGGATTAATAAACTTATTAACAACAAGGTTAGCTTATTTCTTCTTCCCTTTCAAGTAAGAAATACCAAACATTCTTTGTTTAAAAGTCATGTATATATTTAAGTAGCACTTCCTAGAGATTTCATTTTGTATGTCTGTTCTAGTCTGCTTGAAAGAGAATCTTTATAAGCTTCTGTCTACATGAGTAGATACATCCATACAATTTTATTTCGCTCTAATTCTGCTTGTGACTAAACCTTCTCTGAAATAAGTTTTGTTTAGAGATAAAAAATGCTCAGAAACAAAAGAGGCCAATGGGAAGAATAAAAAATTGATGAGGTGTACAGTTTCACCATCAATCAGAATATAACTTACATGCTACAGACACAGTTGCAGGCCTGCTGATTATTGCACCAATACTGGTATTAGCAACACACTGGTAGGTTCCCGAATTTGAAGGACTAAGAGAGAAAATGGTAAGGGATCCTGGCTGTGGGTCTACTTGCTCTGTTTTCTTATGCAATTTCTCTCCATTGAATATCCAAGAGAGATGAGCTGTAGAGGGTTCAGTGGAACAGTAAAGTGTTATAGTTGCTCCTGGCTTCTGGATGGTAGAAAGAGGTTCAGAAATAAAGTGAGGAATCAACTCTAGGGAGAGAGAGAGAGAAAAAGACACACATATATGGTGTTTATCAACTACTGTCAGCTGGCATACATTTTATCAGTCCCAAAAGAGAACATTAGAAACATATCAAGGATTATAAAATTTTTGCAAAAATCTTGGCTAATAGATTGATGCAGATACTGCAACATTATATACACGATGATCAAACTGGCTTCATAGTTGGGAGGTACATGAAGAATAATATTAGGCAAATTGTAAATCTATTGGAATATTTGGACAAGAATAATCAAATACCTTCGGCCTTTATTTTTCTTGATGCAGAGAAGGCCTTTGACAAATTGGAATGGCAGTTTTTACATAAAGTCTTGGACTATATGAACTTTGGAGATCAATTTAAAACAGCTATAAAGGCGATATATCAAAAACAGACTGCTCAGATAATTATAAATGGAGACTTGACNTTATAAATTCCCTTGTCATCTGAAGATACATTCAAAATTTGCAGATTTCCAGATGGGAGAATAAGGTAGTTTTCTAATAAAATAAAAGCGGAGTTATTTTAATGAGACTACAAAAAATATAACTTGATTTTTCTGTTGAAAATACTGTGTTTAACTTGTATCATATGTTAAAATGCAAACGTGTAGCAATTCTCAACAACCTAAGGGACGTAGAAACTCGCCTGTTGATTGTTCCAGCCATTTTCCCCGGACACGGAAGCGAACCTGTGCTTTTGGACTGCTTTTTGGTAGCTTGCAACCTATTAAAGCAGTATTCCCTTCTTCCACTGAAATTGTGTTTCTCCATGAAGATTCAAAATCATCAAGATCTAGAAAAAAAATGAAAGCTTTTTTATTTTATTTTCAACTTTTGGTAGATTTTGTAGGTCTTTAACCAAAAGAGTTTTACTTAATAAATATTAGTGCTTTCAGCTGATTGGGTGCTGAGTTACCTTAAAAAAAATAAGAAAACAGTAAAAGCCTCCTATACATTATCAATCCCAGCAATTTTGCTGACTGATTATAAATCCAGCTGCAAATGTGCCTTTCTGGAGAAGCTTTAGTTGTCAGTTCTGTATAAAACTGAGAATCTGTTTTTTTCTTCACAATGCTAAAAGGATTGCCAGGCGAGTGTGCAACTTCGGGTTTCAAAAGAATATAATCTCCTAAGTAATTAAGGAGGGAATAGGAAAAGCTTTAACTCAACTATCTGTCTAACCAATATCACAGTGCCTAATAGGGTTTGCCCTATTTACACTTTGTTCCTTGTGCAACTGGATAGATGTAGATCAAAGCTAGTTGCTCTTTAGAGCAGGGGTGTCAAACTCAATTTCATTGAGGGCCGCATCAGCATTGCAGTTGCCCTTGGGGGGGGGGCGGGGTGTGTGTGTGGCCACGGTGGGTGCAGCCTACTGGGTGGGCATGGCCAGCTCTACATCGTTCGCGTCAAGGGTGCCTGTGGGGGCCTGGGCAGGAGTGGGACAGATCTGAGGGTCTCTGGCAGAATGGGGTGGGACTGGGGCAAGCACCAAGACATGCTCCATTTCTTCATTCCTCACAAAGGGTGACACCTCCCCAGCATGCACCCAGGGGGCGGGGCCGACGCGACAGGGGCTGGTTCCTCGCTGTTTCTAGACAGCCTTGTGGAGCTAAGACTGAATGTGTTTCAGCATAGATGGCCACCACAAAATTGAACATTGGCTCCTGGCTGGCCTGGGCCAGGCCCAAGGCAGCAGGGGCCGTTCCCTCACTGTTTCCAGGATGGCTTCGCGGGCCACATGAAACCACTTCGCGGGCCTCATCCGGCCCCCGGGCCTTGTGTCTGACATGTCTGCTTTAGAGGATTGTTTATTGTATCTACATTAAAGTCATGTTAACATTATGGCATGCAAGGTAGTTGAGTTTTACATACTTTATAATTTATAAGATTTCACAACTAGCTATGTGCCCTTTTTGCAGCACATAAGAGCAGCTGACTAAAACAGCAACCAATTAGCTAATTTACTTTGGTAAATACTAGGACAATATTAGCAGACTCTTAACATGTAATCAGAATGTTTGACTATCAAATGACTTTTCAATGCTTGTGTTTTCTATACTGGTCTAAACTAACAGATATTTCAACTATAACTTGATAAATGTCTACTTTGCTTAAATGGCAATTCAACACAATATTGGCCTTGCTGCAGTCATTTCATCAGCAATTAATACAGTACAAAAGGCACTGGATGTATTCGGAGTTTTCTACAGTCCTTAGCATCTGTAAGTACCAACTAATGTTCATAAGCTCTCAAGAGGATCTTGCTATGGGTCAGTACTCTACAAAAACATTTATCCTTCTCAATTATGAGAAGTTTTTCTCTTATGGGTATTTTGGATATGCTTCAAAAGCAAAGTATATTTATAATGGAAATGTATCAAGCTCAGGCATAAGAAAGGAGTAATTCAGACATTTTGTTTCTGATCTGAAATAGTCAAATTACACTCAACAGAAATAAGTCTTCTGTGCTGATAAGGGGGAGGGGAGAAGGGGAGAGAAGGAAGAAGCAAGGCATATTTGTTTCCACATTGTTTAAATGACCAGCTGAACATTCGCAGGGTTGGTAAGTTGTAAAAATTGTACTTAATAACTGGACTGCTCAACACTTGGTATTTGAAGGCAGGCGAGCACAGCACCTGCCTTAAAAGAGAAGCTACTTTTTTTTGGGATCAACTGGTTGCATTCTGCCAAAGGAAAGACATGCTTAGTTTAAGAAATTGCAAAACGGTGCTGTTTAGCTGAAGCAGCTTTTTGTTTCACACTTGAAAAACAGCACAGCCTTAATTTATAATTAAGTGGGATAAATTAGGATTAATAAACTTATTAACAACAAGGTTAGCTTATTTCTCCTTCCCTTTCAAGTAAGAAATACCAAACATTCTTTGTTTAAAAGTCATGTATATATTTAAGTAGCACTTCCTAGAGATTTCATTTTGTATGTCTGTTCTAGTCTGCTTGAAAGAGAATCTTTATAAGCTTCTGTCTACATGAGTAGATACATCCATACAATTTTATTTCGCTCTAATTCTGCTTGTGATTAAACCTTCTCTGAAATAAGTTTTGTTTAGAGATAAAAAAATGCTCAGAAACAAAAGAGGCCAATGGGAAGAATAAAAAATTGATGAGGTGTACAGTTTCACCATCAATCAGAATATAACTTACATGCTACAGACACAGTTGCAGGCCTGCTGATTATTGCACCAATACTGGTATTAGCAACACACTGGTAGGTTCCCGAATTTGAAGGACTAAGAGAGAAAATGGTAAGGGATCCTGGCTGTGGGTCTACTTGCTCTGTTTTCTTATGCAATTTCTCTCCATTGAATATCCAAGAGAGATGAGCTGTAGAGGGTTCAGTGGAACAGTAAAGTGTTATAGTTGCTCCTGGCTTCTGGATGGTAGAAAGAGGTTCAGAAATAAAGTGAGGAATCAACTCTAGGGAGAGAGAGAGAAAAAAGACACACATATATGGTGTTTATCAACTACTGTCAGCTGGCATACATTTATCAGTCCTAAAAGAGAAACATATCAAGGGAAGCGAATTTACCTGAAGCTGCAGTTGAGAGGAAAACTGTAAGAAAAAGCAGTTCGTGTGAAAGTACTGGATCAGGATGCATAATGCCAAGTTACAAAGGCTGGTGGCAAAGGGCTTCAGAGTAATATGACTCAATGAGGAACCTACAAAAGAAGAAAGTGTAGGCATATTGAGGCATATTTTTCATGAGTAAAAACATAAGGCATAAACATTGATAAAGGTAAGTTGGCATTGAACTTCATGGATACGTCCCCGTAATTTTCCTGGCAACACGACAGAAATGGCATGCCCTCTCCCCTCCTCCTCCAGGTACTACCTGCTAATCTTAACTCAAGCACTAACCTGGGCTGATCCTGCTTAGCTTCCAAACCCAGTCAGTTGGGTGTTGACAGCTACATAGTTTCAACCATATGTACCAGAACTAAAACATAGCATGAAAAGCCTTTAATACCCTCAATCTTGTTACTTGTAGAAACATGTAGGAATCTTGTTATTTTTAAGTTCCCAGCACGCTCCACAACTCTACAAACAAATTAGCTATCTTACCAAAAGGAAATAATCCCACACAGCTTCAGCCTTGTTGGCTTCTGCTACTTTTAAATAATAAACTATAAATATTAACACTTGGATTTTTTCTTCTCCCATAGGTTCTTTTGTGGCAGAAACAAGAGTTTAGGACCGTATCAGAAAAAAATATTCTGACGCAAGGAATTTATACAAACATATTATGCATGGTTCTTTACCAATGCTATATTTTTTTAAAGATACTTTGGGGGACCTGTGACAACATCTGGGGAGGCACAAGTGGGGAGGCACAAATCATCCACTCCTTTGCAGAGAATAAAAATTACAAAATTGATTGACATCAATAATAATCTCTTTAGTGTAGTGTAACCCCATTGACTTTGTTGTTGGAAGCCAGTCAGGAAGGACATAAATTGTGATCACGTTACCCTGGGATGCTGCAACCATCATAAATAGATGCCAACTGTCAAGCATCCAAAATTTTGATCACATGGCTTTGGGGAGGATGCAGGATCCTATGGCTTTCTACAATATTTGGAAAACCACAGGGTTCCCCTACCTGAAATATATACAACCCATATACAACCACGCCATACTTTAATCCTAGAAAGTGAAGCTGGATTATAAGCTTCTTGCCAAGCCACCTCTAAAGTAAAAAGTAGTGAAGCTACACTGCAGGGGTCTTCAAACTTGGCCCTTTTACGACTTGTGGACTTCAACTCCCAGAATTTCTCAGCCAGGCATACTGGCTGAGGAATTCTGGGAGTTGAAGTCCACAAGTCGTAAAAGGGCCAAGTTTGAAGACCCCTGAGCTACAGTATTTAAACAGACATTCCCCACCACCACTACCATTGACTCCCCAATGAAGAACAAAATGTTTAATGGAATCCTCATTATGAATGGAAAAGCTGCCTGCAAAAATTACTAGGGGTTTCCCTTTT